TATTGTCAGATGTAGAGCCTTCTGTGTTTTTCAGGACAGCAAACCATGCCCTATTTATTTTTAAACTCTATCTTTCCTGTTGAAATTGTGTTTATGTTTATGAATGTCAATGGCTCCCCTATGTAATCGGACATGGTAATTGGAAGTGTTGTCCAGCCTTTCAGTGTCTTGGAACAAATTACTGTGTCCTGTTTGAGTTAGGCTACGTTCAGCCACTGCTGATTTTTCAGGTTGACTAAGTCTGGAGTGTCTTTCATGTTGTTTTATTCTTGTCTGAATGCTACGCTGTGTGGTCCCAATGTAAACTTGTCCACAACTGCATGGTATGCGGTATACTCCTGCAGAAGTGAGGGGATCTCTTCAGTCTTTTGCTGATCATGGCATCTGTTGTATTTTTCTGGTGAGTCTGAATACTGTTTGTAGGTTGTGTTTTTTCATAAGTTTTCCCATCTGATCAGTGATTCCTTTGATATATGGCCAAAACACTTTTCCTGTGGGAGACTGTTTTTCCTCAGTTGTTTGTTTTACCTTTGATTTGAGCTTCATCTAAATATGCTGTGTTATTTGGCTAATGTAATTACTTTAGTTGCTTTGTAAACAGCTGTCTGCAAAGCTTTAGTTCCTCAAACGCTTTATTGGGCAAGTCCATTTTGGCTTTTGAATAAACAAGTAATGCCCTCACACCTAGACACATACATCCCAGGAATTTTTCCCAGGCTTCAAAGTCTGAAAATCATTCACCTTCTCCAGCATTGTTCACCAGACAGTCCAGGCATCTGTAACATTCTAGAGTGACCCAAATAAACCTCTGCAAGAACAGGAATGAAGAGAGATCTAAAGCAAGGTAAGGATAACAACAGAATCGAGAGCTCTACAGTTCCAGAGCTGCAAGTGATCACCATTAGAACTACCCAGTCTCTGGCCAGCACCCATTCCAGGTGTTTGGTGCAAGTGCAAAAGACAGAAAAGACCAGGTAGCAAAGGAGCCTGGGGAACAGAGGAGAGGAGCCATATATGGAGTGGGGGACAATGCCACATCATGCTTGGGGAGAGAGTGCAAGCTCTAGCTAGAAAGGACTGTAAGGGGGTACCTCCTTTCTAAAGGGGCTTCTTGTCTCTTGGCAGAATGCTGTTCTGAGGTTTTCCTCCTAGGACAATCTAGAACTCTCTGTCTCTCATGTGGTAAGGCAACCAGGTTTATCTCTTCTGTTTCCTATCCAGTTTGTTAGTTCCACAAAAAAGCTTTCTTTGCTCTTAATCAGTTCAGTGTCCTTACTGCTCCATAGGCTTCCTGCTATAACACCTTTGGCCTTAATGGGCCCAAAGACAAGGAGGCAAGGCTTGTGGTCAGCTTCTGAGCCCTGCCCATTGTCAGACTCCACAAAATACTTGCACCAGCCATGCAGAGGGCATGTTATGGCACTGAGGACTAGAAGATTGACATTGACAAAGAAATTAAGTGTAATCCCAAGCAAAGGAGATATGAGCCTTCACAGATGACAAACACATTCTGAGTTTATGAAAGAAGAGCATTAATCAAGAGGAAAGGCCCAGAAGAACAGTGTCATGACCATTTAGATACCTGAGTATGAGAATATGGAGAATGGTTTTAGCAATGGGTACAGAGATAAAAGAACATTTTGTGGAGATACTGAAGAAGAATCCCCAAAGAAACAACATTTTGCACCCAGTTTTTGCCTTGATGTCTGACTTGGGAGATGCTGAAGAAGAACCCCCAAAGAAACACCACTTTGCACCCAGTTTTCGCCTACTTTGATGTCTGACTCGTTGCGAACATCACAGACCTGCAAGTAAGCATCCCTTGGGTTCCCAGAAGCCTGCAGCTCCCACTGAATTTCTTGTCCCTTTTCCACTGCAAGGGGGTAGAACAGAAAAGTTGCCAGCAAGAAAAACTTTTTGAATCTGCCTTTTTTGTGCGGTATTTGCCTCTTCCCTCCATCTTCCTTTCCAACTGTGCCCAGTCTCAAAGTACACACAAGTATGTTTGCTAAATGCATTGAAGACTGTTGCTGTCTTCTCTTTTGGTGGTTCTCCACTTGGAGAAAGGCAGGCTAAAAGGGCTGCAAAATGAATAAATATATTCTGCTTTAAATGGGGAAATCAACTCCTTGGGGAGGGGGTCCCACCTAGTGTTGCCTATTGGAACAGGGGAAGACAAAGAACGTGATGGCTGAGGAGTAGACAGATCATGTGCAGCAAAAAGAAGGGCTGATGATCCTACTTTCCATCATCGGCCTCCTTCCCTGGGGGTATTTGCCAGCACTCCACTCAAGGATGAATATGACTTATTTGTCTTCTCCTTCTCAAAGGCCTTGAGAAGAAGATGGGAAATGCCACTTTGACCACAGTCTTCTCATTCCCATTTACTTTCATCTCCAACTCTGCTACCCGAAACCTCATCTTTTCTTTATCTTTGCTGACCTGAGATACTGCCAACAGGGAGGTAAGGGGCTGGATCCTGGGATCGTATCATTCCTGGGCCAGGAGTTCTGCACTGGTCACCCCTCTGTTGCTGGCAACACAATCCGTGCAGACTTCTGGTTCTTACCTTCAGGGCTGTCAGTGGCCTGGAGCCAGGGTCACTGAAGTGCTGCCTCCTGCCATATTGCTCATCCCCCCAGTTAAGAAGATCTGCTTCAGAAGCCCTTCGCTCTGTGCGGGTAGAGGTGATGTGGGTGGTAAGGGAGTATTGCAGAGGAACCTGAGCTATGGAAGGCTTCCCCACCACCAACAACCATGGGCCTCACCTGGCCAGAAGATTTTATTTTTAGCTCAGCTGTTAATTAAGGAGTTGTTCTTCTAAAATTGTTTTCACACCCTGCTTCTAGCCTGAGGCTTATTTTATGAAAATCATTTTAGACTGCTAATTGTTTTGTTTTTTATAATTCTCTGGCTGGGCTTTTGAATGGCTGGCCTTTTAATCTTTTTTATAATTCACAACGTTTATGCTGTGCTGTAATTTTATGAAGTAGAACTTTGTATGCTGCCTCAAGAAAGTTCTCTGTGGAAGTGGCCTATACCTTTTTTAAACAAACAAGGGGACCCTGTTGTGGTGGGGTGAGGAAAATTGCTCTAGACTCACCTTCAGATGCTTTTAAACAGAAGACCACATTGGCTCCCTGGCAAAACTGGAGGGCAAAGAGAGAAGGAGCAGAAGGCAAAACTCAGGGGCTTGGAACACACAGACGTACATCACAAACAATGTTTCCTCTAAACACCACAGTGTTGTAAGCAAAAATTCTACTTAACGAGCAAAAAAAAGCTAGTAGCATTAAAGTTGTGAGTGAGTCTACATCTGACTTTTGCATGGTTTTTTAGAATATTATTTCCATAACATTGTAAAAATCTCAGAATGAATTATTTTAAACTATCTTTTAAGAATAATTTAAACATAAGAGAAAACAGAATCAATTCAAATTTCATTACTCAAAATGTTGCCCTCTACAGGGTACACCAGGCTTCCAGAGAACAGGTCTACCCTCCCCATTCCACTGTATTGGTAGACCTGGCCTTGGACTTTTGCCCTGTGCTGAGCCTTAGAATACATACCAGCACTTGGGGGGGGGGCTCTTGCAGTCTACATTGTTGTTTTTTTAGTGAAACATGACAAACAGCATTAGAGGTCTAGTA